CTTAGTCGTACGGTAAGAAACCTTCTCAGCTGCATATTTTATTCAAAATCAGAAGTGTTCCCAGATTAAATTTGGTATTTACAAAGTTGCAAAGCACATTTTTTTATGAGAACATTACAGAACTTTTGTTTCAATCTCTATCTTACAAGGATATTAACTGGACAATCAAAAGAAAATCTATTTACCCAGACATTAACACTTCTGTCCACAGGATTTGCAGGTGGTTCTGCCTGATGGTTTTCAGTACATCTGTGATTATTACCGACCCATTTTTGGAGGCATGTTGAAAACACGATCGTAAACATTGTGAAGAAGCAAACTATTATGATAGCAAGATAAAAAAAAAAGGTATGTCCATGATTAGAACTTGTACTAAAAAGAAATCTGCTGTTAAATATATTAACACATTAGTGTGTTAAATTACAGTAGACATTCCAGTGCATGATACAGCGATGCCTTACATATAGATATATCCACTAACCTTATGTCTGTGTTTCCTCTTTTAAGACCTTATTTTAGAGACTACTGTTCTGAAACTTTTTATATATCCTGTCAGATACTCCAGGCGACTTTCTGAGATGCTCTGAACATCAGCAGCTCCCGCTTCACTGAGGTGGGAAGCTTGGATGTTTAAAAGTTATAGGAAAGACATCTTGGGCAACATAAACTCCAGTAATTCTCCCTTCTCCCTCACAGGTGGAAAAACCCCAAGGAGTTAAAAAACCTACAACTTCACAGTGAGGCAAGGTGTCACATTTTCCATGAGTCCTAAAGAAAAACTCTAATATGATCACTCCTGTTCCTCTCTGGTGGGTAGCTATGCAGACAGAATTGAAGTAAGAGTTTACTTCTCTGACAGAAGAGACTTCCCCAGAACTCAGTGAGGATAAATTAAAAAAGATGGAAGTGGGGAAACTAAAAGATGCCTGCAGGCTGACTTTTTTTTCTTTACAATGTAAAAATTATATTTGTTCTTATATAGGAAGGGAATAGCCATACTGGAAACAAAACCAAATGGCTATATTTTCATTTCACGACCATTTCAGCTACTAATGATACAGCCTTAAATGCCTGCTCAGTAGGGTATCATTAATACAGAATTCTCTATCAAAATGGATTTGATTTTAACAGGCAAGGTAACATGATGAACTAAGGTATCTTCTTAAGAAATCTTGTATTTTTCCTTTAAGACAAAGATAACTTGATACTTTTCCATTCAAGATCAAAGAAGGGAAATAATAGGAGACAAAGACAGAATAAAGAGAGACAGAGCATTTGATGCTTCAGTTTTCTGCCTAACACTTTTTCTTTTAGATCAGTAAAATCACCAGACTCACCCTATAGAGAAAGAAGATTAAAAAAGGGAGGTTATATATGGCCAAAAACAACTCTGGGCAACTTTGCTGACGTGTTTAAAAGCTACTGTACTTTACAATTCTTATTTAATAAGTAAAATGATAAACAAAAACCAAAGCACTTTTAATCTTCAAAGCAGTGTATGATCAATAACAACTTCATAGCAGTTGATATGCAAGTATCATAATCTGTATCTTACTCCAGGAGAGAAAGATGCGTAGAGAATAAGCGATCTGCCGGGGTCTAATGCTGAACCCGGGATGGAACTCAAACGTCACAAGCTTGTATATTAAACCACAAAACTATGCTTTCCTTCAGGAGTTGTTCTTTTGTTACCAGTTTTCATATGAGCAAATCATTATCATCATAAATAATTATGGACTTTTTCCAGACCTTGCAGAAACATTTGAGACACCAGTGGAGGTACATCCCGGGATTATCTGGCAGAATATTTAGCACAGAATACCCATTAACTTACTACACCTCTGAATTTAACCTAACCACTTAAGTAGGTTACTTAAATAACTATTTGCTAGGGTAAACATATGAATAGCTTCATATTGGCAACAGCTTCCCTGTTAAGTTACATTTATGGTCAGGGCATTCTGCAGGACATATCCAGCCTCTGGGTTAGAGCTATGCTTTCTGACCCTTCACAGCTTTGGAGAAGGGAGGTCTGGCCTGGCATACTGAATCTTGCGGTAATATTGGTCATTGATCTCAATCTCATTTTTGTCCATCTAAATCACAAGAGATTTTTTCAAGAGCAGAAAGAGCACAACCTTAAAAAGATATTCAGTTAAGGATCAATTTCATAGGAATTTTACAGCTGCCCGCAGTACAGAAAGTTTGAAAAAAATGCTGTAATATTTGCAAATCAATAAAAAAGGAGTTTCTCCTAGAAACATACATCTCTCAAACTACAGGGAAAAAGATTTCCATATTATTGTACTGTAAACTTACTGTGGTCTGTGGAAGTGCTGAGAGATTTAATTTACATACTAATGCTGCAAGCAGGTTGTAGGATGCGGGGGGAGAAGAGTTACTTAGCACCAGTAATGAGCAGAAAGGAAAAAAAGGCAGCTACAATCCCCATGGACTGTTTTGTTTTCAATAATTTTAGACTGTCTAATAATGCCTTTTAATAAACTACTCTCAGCTATAAAGCTGCAATCAGCCTTTGACAGAGAACATAATCCTGCCTCAGACAGGAAAATAGTTCTGATATAATGGACAAAAGATCCCATCTAAATAAAAGCTTCTTAAAAAAAAAAAAAAAGGAAAAAAGAGTTCCATCAGTGAAAGACATAAATTATGCTGCCTATACTGTGTATCCTTTCATTTCTAGCATACTAGATTTCAAAAGGATATCCATTAAAGCAAAATGCATTCAAAAACCCCACATTTTCTGGTTTACTCTACTCCAGCCCTCAGTCACAATTAGACGAACTTGCTTATTTATAGGGTATTAATGCCCTGTAAGTGCAATCTAAAGTATGGCTGATCATGTTAATTTTCTGTTTATAGTCTATGCTACTCACTTAGTCTTTAAGTGACTATGATGCTACACTGAGATTAACATTGCAATAGGCTATCAAAATTTAAGATTATTTCCATTCCATTCACTCAATTTAATGGCAGTTCTCACTGAAACTCAAGTCTAGCTATAAAAGACTAAGATATATACAAGATAGGTAAAACACGGATGTTCTACTCCATTAAACACAGGATTCCTCAAAACAGCGGGTTACCTTCACTGCTGACATACGCAAGTACAACTCCACTGTTGCCAAAAACAGCCATTGCACCATAAACTGGAACTGAATCTACCCAATGTTTGGGTTTAAACATTGGTTTATAATCCATTGCTAATTCTAAAAGAATTCAGTATCATCCTTTCAGTAGATATATTTCTTAGTTTTCATAATTCAAAGCACTAACAAGATGGAAACGAGAACTTTTCTCTAGGAATTCTTCTGATCTTTTCAGTATTATCACCATCCTTTTCTTTCCAGCAACAGACTTACTCCGATGGCAGTTATCACACTTTGCAGATCAGTTCAGAAACATGCCTAAAACTTAAAATGACACATTGTCAAAAGAATACCCAATCACTAACACCAGCACAAAATCTGTTTGTCCTGAAGATACACCTATCATCTTAGCAACATAGGTAGAGATCTCTGTTTAACTTCTTTTTAAATGTCATTTGCTAGAGAGTTAGCATAAACCACTGTGGCATTTGGTTATTGTACTTCGCTCTCATTTAAGGAAAAATAAATTTATCACTTGAAAAAAACCACATAATTTGTGGAATTTAAGCAGCTTTCTTCTGCTAATACATTTCTGCCCCACCGTATGGGAAGGAGAACTGACTGTATCTGTAACCGGCAAGTCACACTTTCTCTGAGGGGTGCCAGATAACAACAGCACGTCACCACACTCGCAGCCAAATGCTCCTTTTGCCAATGAGATTTCATAATGCTTCCTCCACTTCTGAAGCTCTCCAAAGAAAAGAAGTGTTAAAACATATAGTCCATAGGAACCAAAACTGTCTAATGTTTGAACTGCTTTTGCACAGAAAGAGAGAGAAATTACTTTTTTTTTTTCACATGAAGTAACTTTTTTCTTCCTTATCCCTTCCCCCCCCAGCTAGAAGTTGTATACTTTTCTCTAGCTAGTGGTAAAATAAGAACAGGAACAGGTATGAAATTCAATTAAGTAATGCCGTTTTTTTTTTGTTGTTGCCAATATCATTAGATCAGTGCCCGAATATATACCAAGGGTAGAGCAGATCTGAAATGCACATTTCTCAAGCTGAAAAAATTCTCAGTGAAATACAAGCTTTCAATCAGCTCAGACAAAATGTTAACAAGTAATGAATTAAAGTGTGAAGCAGCCACTATTTTAAGAACAAGATCCCTAGTATTGATTTTACCAGAAATAGTTTATCAGGAAGTTAAACACACATCTAGAGTCGCAAGTAGTTCCTCTACACTCAAGCTAAAAATTCAACCGTATGAGATTTTAAATCCTTCTACACCCTGAGATTATTCAGGATTCTAACTTCTCTGTGGAGGCACAGACCCTTCCCTCTCCACAGCACCACAACCTGATAAACAGTCTGAGCGACACTTGCACCGATCACGTAACGAGAGCTTTCCCCCCGCTTTTTAAACTTGCTTCTACTAATACTGGGAAATAATGGTAGCATGTAGTTATACATCCAGAGCTAAAGAAAGAGGTCACAGAAAGCGTTTCTCATTGCCATTTCCTAGCAATTCCCTGCCATTTCAATACACAAGGTTAAATTACTCCAGAAGCCTCCCTACAGGGCTTCCATTGTTTGTCAGTCAAGGCTAGGACACAATGGCACTCATTCATGTGCACAGCAAACAAGCAGCTAAGGGCCAATGATCAGCACAGTCTCATTTTGGTTCTTCTGCAAACAGTTTGTAGAAAGATGGCATTTCAAATAAACTATGTCAATTTTTCAAAGCTTCAATGCATTCCTAGTATAAACTACTTAGTAGGGAGTCCAGACAAAAATTAAGAGAACTTGCGAACAACATGAACAATCACCCAAAACACACGCTCACTCGTTAGGACTGCTCCTGAAAAAGATCTGCTTGCTACAACCACATGCAAAAAGATTACATTTTAATAGTTAGAGAAATACACCTTCAGAAAAATTCAAAATAGCTGATTCTTTCCAAAGACAGTCATATCATGCTTTTGTTTTTGGAGCACCACTTAGTGTTCAGCCTGAGAGCTTATGTTACTATGGGATACAGACACCAAGGTTCCAAAGTGCACTTAAGGCTGTTTACTTCATGTCTTCTGGTTAAGAACCCAAGAAGTTTAGAGTCTGGGATCTTTTTGGTTTTGTTTTGCTCTTCTTTTTTTCAACATGTTAAAAATAGAAAACACAAATGCAATATGACAGAAGTCCAATGCTGCTGATACCAGTAGAGACACAAGCCTCACGCACCTCTTCACTGTTTTGCCTTTTCTACTTCAAAACTTGCTAGAGCAAAGACTTTGTCTCCTGATCCTATGAGAAGAAAAAACATTTTCAGTAAGTATTAGTAGAAATTGGTAATTTCCTTATATACAATTTAAATCAAGTAAAACATTTAAGATCAAAAGAAATCAAACCTGTATTTTGAAAACTAGAACACTTGACCTAATTAAAAAAAAAGGGGGACACACACACACCTACTAGCTTGACAGGTCTGAAACCAGCCATGTTGTACTGGCTGTGCCCGAGATGGAGTTAACTTTCCCGACAGCAGCTCTCACAATGCTGTGCTTTGTACTTGTAGCTAGAACGGTGTTGATAACACACTGATATTTTGGCTGCTGCTGAGCAGTGCTGGCACAGCATCAGGGCTGTCTCACCCCAAAAGGCCAGTAGGCTTGAGGTGGGCAGGAGGTTAAGGGGACATAACCAGGACAGCTGACCCAAACTGACCAGAAGGATATTCCATGCCATATGACACCATGCTCAGCAATAAAAGCTCAGAGAGAGAGGGAGGTGGGGGATTTCTTAATTAAGGCATTTGTCTTCTGAAGGAACTACTACACGTACTGAGGCCCTACTTCTCAGGAAGTAGCTGGGCATTGCCTGCTGACGGGAAGTAGAGAATAAATCTTTTTTTTTTTTCCCTTTGCTTCTGTGCACAGCCTTTGCTTTTCTTTATTCAACTGCCTGTATTCTGACCCATAACTTTTTCACTTTATTTTCTCACGCTGTCCTGCTGAGGCAGAATGAGAGAGCAGCTTGGTGGGCATCTGGTGGCCAGCCAAGGTCAAACCACCACAAACACAGAGAGCTCCTAACAAAGTACCCTTTTGAACAAAAGGGTTCTCACCTTGCTTACACTCTCAGGAAAAGCAGTACTGAAAGTTAGGTCACAGAGACAGTTTATTCGTACCCTGATCTAGGCTGGCACGTTCCTGCCATTCATAGTTTTTTCATCACAGTTCTAACTGTAATGTTAGAAGAAACTGTTGTGCTTATTTAATGACTATTATAATTGAACTTTTGGTCTTGTCAATATGATTAGCGTTATGACAATCATGGCAAGAAGAGTGCTTTAAAGCTGTATTTTGACAATGTGCCAATAATTGCTGAATTCTCTGCATCTAGCAGAGAAAAAAAGACTCTCCTGAAATAGCAAAAAAAGATCTGTGTTTAACTGCAAGAGTGGTATCTCTGCTTGAGACAGACCATCCAAGCCTTCAGCATTACAAGCAACGCCTGGCATTTTATGGACATTTGGCACTGGATTTATTCGCTGCATTACTTTTTCCTCATGGATAGTGTATGAGAGTTTCATTGTTAATAGAACAGAAAACGTACATAAAAATTGAACTGCATGAATCTTTTGTTTGTATTTTCTCTTTCATAGGGGACTCACAAGTATTTCTCTTAATCAGTGTTCAATGAGGCAAAGAAACTAGAAGTTATGAGAATGAAAACTTACCCAGGTCAGTGGAGACTCTCTCAAACTGGCTCAGAGCTGTACCAGCATTTGCTGACAAGAACATCTCATCATCTGGAGTGAGCTAAATGAAAAAAAGACCACAGCTGTGAACTTGGTACCTTAGCTGTGCATATTCCCACCATCTACATGGGCATATACATGAACTACGACACATTACAGCAATTGTCAGTTTGCAGTTTTTAAGTGGCAGTGTTATCTAACATATTAAAAACCAAAGTAAAAATGCAAGCTACTTCCCCTACCACTGAATTTTTTCTTAACGGCATCTGTCAGCCCAGGAAGGACAGCGCATTCAACATCAGACAAGCCTCTACACGTACCACTAAGTTTCAAGCTGACCTCTAGTGATAATTTTTGATGAAAAGGTCACACTGTACCTCTGTACCAAAACTCGGCAAAGGATGTCAATTACTTTTTTAGTTATGTGGTCAATACAGTGATGAGCTAAGATCTAAGCTCGCTTCGTACCATCTACTGAGGAAAGAGAAAATAGGCAGTTGCTACCAGCTTTGACCATGTTAAGAGTCAATGACCTAGAAATGGTCCTCTTCCTTTAAAGTGACATTTACACATGTGTATTTTGCTTTCATGTATGTGCTTTGATGCCTTGTGACAGATGCCTATGAAATATTTACAATAATGAGGTAGTAACCTACATTTGGAAGGATCAGATATTCTGAGTTAAAACTCTCTCATTTAAGTAGCCTCAGATATATAACCTTATCAAAGCACAGCATAAGTGTATCAAACTGTCCACAGCGTTTACGCCAGTTTGTTTATTAAAAATGTAAAAATTAGGTACAGGCATTCAGAATGATGTTGGAAAGAGGGAAAAAGTATTAGTTACCCGCCTCTGGTGTACTTTGTAAGCAAGCATCTAAGTGCTTAACATTTCACAGTATTGTGCAGGCAAACATGTAATATTTACCACCATTTTTCACATTCAGAACAGACGTGAAACTACTATCCTAGCAAGTTCTCTGTGAAGGAGGCTATGCCAAAGTGTGGTGAAGTGGCTTGTCTAAAGCAATCTAAGGAATTCATGCCAGGAGGATTAGATATCATCATACACTCAGTTCACAGTCTTAACTAGCCTTTTAACCTATTTCCAAAACATTTTTTCTCCAGCAATCAAGCAATAAAAATGTCTGAAGGAAAAGCATTTGCTAATATCATCTGCCTGGAATGCAGCTCCTTTAAGTACTGCACTTGATCTTTTCCATTACATTGCCTCATTTCCTAAGAAAGTTTAAGTACAGAGATACACAGCAACCCTTTTTCTTCACACATCATCAACAAAAAGAAGTAACAATTTCTCTTCCTCCCTCTAGCGGTAAAAACCAGGGATTGTTGTGCCACTGATGTACTCATAGGGGAAACAATCAGTTCATCACTCATCTCTCCAATTTATTTCTTACACCAAGAAGTAGGTATTTACTATCACCAATACAAAACTAAGTAAAGCTCAATGTATATCAAAAGTCTTGGATAGTTCCTGCCAGGTGGATAGGTGGCAGTTAGTTAGTAAAAGACTTGTTTTGTAGCTTTTCCAAATATCAACTTGTACTAGCTTCTATGTGATTCATTTCTACAACCCAACAAAGAAAGCATTCTGAAGTAGAAACAGCCTTATATAAATGTACAACACTGTTTCGTATATGTTCAGTAGCGAATGCTTCAGAAAGTTTAGCATTAAAATAGGAGGACATTTATGTATTACAGAAGCAAGCTGCATTTTATTATTTGCTCAAACAGAAGTGTTAATTTCTTACTTTAATTATTTCAAATCCCTCTTCAATATATAGATAGGAATTTGTATTCACCTAACTATCATACCACTGCCTTACCTTCTCACCAAGTTTTCTGAGAGCAGTCAGGATTTCCACTTTCTGCTGTGTATATACATCTCGTCCCAACTTCCCAACCATTAAGTCTCGGTCCATCTGTATACGAGGGGTGGAGAGCAAGTCAAAACTTATTAAGATTCCCATTAGTTTCAGTCAAGACAACAGCATGAGCAATGCAACTGCCTAAAAATATTACCAGTTAACATGGTACCCATGGAAGTAAGAGACAGAGCTACCCATAATTTAAAAACTGGCCGCAAAGTTCTTCTGACCATTCTGCAAATACTCTTTCCACCTAACCTTAGCATTACTGATTTCTCCAAACTTTAATCGCTTTTAATCAAAGGCTGCTATTCATTCAAAATTATGGATTCACGTATCACCGATACATGGGGGAATCACATTTCATTTCACTTAATCTCAAGTCCAGTCTAGGTCTTTGAAACATCAAATGCACTCTCCAGGCCCTCAGTACAATTACAGATTCATACTGTTCAGATTTTCTATTTGCAGTTATACTCAGTTCACTATTGGTCAATCACATTTTTGTTTTGAAGCAGCAAGATAGAAGATAATTCAAGAAGTACACATTGTCCTGAACAAATTCTGCAAGGGAACTTCTCTATCTCCTTACGATGCTGCCACCAAGTTTTCTAACACACTTGGTGCTCTCCTTGCATTCATTACATATTTAAATCAGTCTAGCTCAAATAAACAATTTTTACAGTACAACAGAAACCTTCACCTCTGCCAATCTTGTCCTCAATTGCCTTGGTTGTTTCTTTGCAAACATTCTAATTACTTCTGGAGTTTTAAATGCTTGGCTGATGGCTGCTTGTATTGCCTACAAGGAAAAGTGCAAGAATGATGAGAACTAATAGCAGTCACAAGCTATAGCTGTATGACAAGATTAATGAAGGCTGGAAAGCATCGTTAGTATCCTCTGCATCACTTCATAAAGAGAGCTTTTTTTTTTTGCATAACCATGGAAGAGAGATTAAAAAAAACCACGACCTTTACCGCTTGAAAAATCTAATTAGTTTACGCAGCTACACTGAAAAAGAAATGTGAAACTTTTCATTATAGTCCAGGTCTTTTATTCCTAAAGATTTCCAACATCTTCCTGATATTAGCACATGCCAAGTGCTATGCTATCTTTAGCAGTTCTTATGCCCACGCTGACCATTACGGTTCTTCTAAGGGTAAGCAGAATGTAAGTGATGAGGTAAATCTCCTACTGTTATTCAAAATCCTCTACTGAGTATCAAAACTATTATGATTAAATCTTGCTATAGTTACGTTTGGACAAATCATAATCTCTCCTTAAACAAAACCCTAAAACATATGGCTCAGAAGGAACAAAGCTCTAACTAAACATCTGAAAAGACATAAAGTAGATCAAAACTTTGGAAGTCTGCATAAAATAAGATCAACTCACTACAAGAACATGAAGTTACACAGCCACTCCTACAGCCTTTTCATCTGGACTGGTACAAATCTCTGAAATCCAAATCAGCAATAACACAAGAAATGCTATCTTTATGCTTTCTAACATACAGGCATGAACTTTACTTCTCATGATATATATTGTCCTCGATTGTCCCTCAGACCTTTTATATTAATTTGTATTATTTTGTGTTACTTTCTAATATTAAGGATCCGATATACTTTTGCCCCTGCAATTTCCCGCAGCTTTTTCTACAGCATTATGGTTATAGTTCTTCAACATTTTTTCCTTTTAAAATGAAGAGACCGAACCAAGTTTTTATATGTACACATATATTAAATAATAAAAACATTAGATATGTAGATCTAGCTTTCACACATGCCTGTCTAAAAGTTATAATGAACAACTTGTATCTAATTTCTGTTTCACTGAGCCCAAGCAGAACATTAACTATTTTCAGTAACACATCATCCTTACCAGTTGCATCCCACTGAGCTCATCCACCAAAGTCATGTCCCCAGACATAATCTTCTTCAGTGAGTCATTGATCTCACTCAGCTGTTCCAGAGTTTCTTTTTTGGTCTCTTCATACTCATCTGCATCTAGCTCCTCTCTAAAGAGGATCCAACAAGACACATTAATTCATAGGATCAAACTTGAGACGTAACATGGAGAAAAGGACATCAGGGAATATTATGAAGCTCCGCTTCTTCCTCAGACAGCAGTGAAAACATTCACATCACATCAGATTATTCTGTTCTAGCTTTATTAGCTGTTATTTAGCTAATGCATATGCAGTTTGCTTGGTTTTGCACCACCTCCTATGCGCCCATGCACTTGCCGTGTTTGTATGAAGTCACATGTATTAAATGAGATACTCACGATACTATGAGATACTCAACACTTGATGCAATATTCAAAAGTGTATTTTGGATCCTGACAAAAACATGCATTGAGATTGTCTCGCTCAAAGCTACAGTGAATCAAATTACCTCCCCAGCCAAAAACCATCAAGTTATTCAGGAATAACTGATCCTGCTGTCTAAACCTTGGCCAGTTCAAAGAGTGGCACTACCAACCCTTAGTAGTTATAACTGTTCTTGGAAAAAAGTATGTACTGCTTGGACAAGTTAGAATTATAGTCAAAGAAAGCATCTAAAACCACACGGGATGTTTAAATGCAAGTACTGAAACATAAAAAAAACCTTCTACTTGGTAATTCAGTCTATCTCAAATTTTATTAGCCCACAAAAAACTAACACAAAATCACATGAAACAAACCACATGAAAATGTTAGACAAACTAGAATAGAAACACCCTACCCAAACATCTGTAATTAAGACAAAACAAAGTAAGACACAAAAGCAAGTGACTGCTATTAAAAAAGCCCATATGAAAATGGTTAATTCTGTGAACAGCTATTAAAAGTTAGAAAGTCACAGTGGAACACAAAACTTCAAAGAAAACAGTAATGAGTATTTCTGCCCGCATTTTCCTCAAGAAGATTATAAATAGAATGATCTTAATAAAAAGAAAGGTTTTTAAAAATAATTTTTACTACCTGACACAAACATTCCACCTAGTTTAAAAAAAATAAAGCCACAGCAAAACACAAAATAAAACAAAAAAACAACAAGTTTTTTGAAAGGTACCACTTTCTTCTGCCAACTGCTTAAGAAATTATTACCATGTAAGAGGAAAGCATCCATTTTTATTACCTGCATTCCTCCAGATCTTGAAGCTGCTGCATTAATCTATCCAACTGCTCTTCCAAGTTTTGTTTTAGTTTACTGGTCTCTGTTGTTCCCCTTGAAGCCATCTTCTGTTTTCACATGAAAATTTTATGTTGTTACATGACACTCCTAGGAGAAAGGACATTTCACGGTTGTGTATCAGTAACTTAAAACTTATTTTAAAATGCTCCAGATACAATAAAATTACGCAGTATCTTGGTGATCTTCATGATGTCTGACAGAAACACTCGGAGATCCTTGCAGTGGCAATACAGAAACGTTAGGCTGTGTCTAGAGGATTGTTCAAGAGGCAGTTCACCAAGGCAGTAACTCAAACAGCCACAACACATAAAACCAACAAGTTTAAAACCAAGTAGCGATCACTGAAATACTGAGGTCCCGCTATATGAAACAAAGGATTCCACTCTTCAGGTGCCCCCTGGGAAGCTCTTTAAGAGACAACAACAACCCGGATGCAGGTGTCTGAAGCATGCAAACACCTTCGGCAGAACCATCAGCTCTGCAACACCCGAGCACTCCAGAGGAAATTCGCGCTGCTTTGCGCATCAAATAGGAGCGGACAGCCAGCCGACGGCAGCGCTCCATGGGCCATCCCTGGGGCACGCACCGGTTCCGCGGCCGTTGCGAGGTTGCGCTAACGCCAGCGGCTCCAGCAGCCG